GGTCCACTGTACCCTTTATTGCACTTACAACTTGAAATAGGCTTACTTGTTCTTTGTCTGTCCCTCCATTAGAATTTATGTTCAATGTGAACAAGAATCTAGTTAACTTGTTTTACAGTCAAAGTCCCAAGATTTAGTACAATGTCTGGTGCACTGTAGAAGTTGAATAAATAATCTGAATGAATAAAAGAATAGTTCCAAAAAGTCTTTTAAAATTTTGATATGATCATTCTGTATTAGCTATCACTCACAATTCTTTTTTGTCTATAAGTTTTATTTGTATACCTCCTTTTTAACCATTTGCTTATTCATTCACTTTTGAAAAAAGACATTGGTAGTATACTAAATGTCAGCCACACAGGTTATAAATGGAATAAGTCATGTTCTTTACTCCTAAACATCTTACCCTTTATTAAGGAAAAATCAATATGATAAGATAAAATGATCTTTTTATCAAAAGAAATAATGAGCCTTGGCTGGTGTGGCTCAGAGGATTGAGCGCCAGCCTGTGAACCAAAGGGTTCCTGGTTCAATTCCCAGTCAGGGCATGTGCCTGGGTTACAGGCCAGGTCCCGAGTGGGGGGCATGTGACGTGTAACCACATACTGATGTTTCCCACTTTCTCTTTCTCCCTCCCTTCCCTTCTCTCTAAAATAAATAAATAAAATCTTTTAAAAAATAATAAACTCAAATACAATGCCTTCAATCTAATTAACATGTTGCAATGAAGGGAAAGATGACCCACTGAAAGAAATAAAAGACTAGTCATCTATCAAAAGACAAAATTGAGCTAATTATGTATCACTTTTTCTTAGTGAATCCATTTTGACTCTTGGTGATACTTTTTTTTCTAAATGTTTACAATTCATTTTTTAAGTGTAATATACTGCAATAAATTATAATATATTATACCAGGTCTTCATGTCAAATTTAGCTTCTTTTATAATGAGAGTAATCAGGGAAAATCCATTCTACAGTATGATTACTTTGATTTGTTTTTAATCTCAATATTTAATCTTATTTTGATTTAAATACTGTTAAAGAAGAGTAAGAATATTATGTTTATTGAAAGGGGAAAAAGACTGAGAGTAGGCAGGCAGATATTAGCAGAATGAAAGGAAGAAGTTTTTAGTAGTTAGAGTTGCCTACCAGTGTTTTGCCTTGCAAACAGGGAGCTCTCTATCCCTAGAAATCTTTAAGGACAGCTATCCAGCCATATTTACCAGGACAGCAGAAACAACCTTGATTTAGGAGGAAGTTCTGATTTAGATCAGTGTCTCTCAAACTATGGTGAAGAAGCAAAAAAAAAAAATTTCCAACTCTTTAGTAGACCAATATACAAAATTAAAAAGTATCACACATTTAGATGTCATGGCAATGTCAAACTGCTACAAATTTTTCTAAGTCAGTGATTTTCAACTTTTTTTATCTTGTGGCAAACATAAACTAATTACTAAAATTCTGTGGCACACCCAAAAATATATTTTTGCCAACCTGACAAAAAATAAGTATAATTTTGATTTACAAAATAGTAATAATAACAGCAACAACAATAGTAATTACCAACTTTTTGGCTCCAAAGTGATTTTTTAAAATATCAGGTGCTTAGATCTTCATATAAGTTAATACAGTAAAAAAAAAAGGTTCTTGCACTACCTCTTTTACTGCAATAACTTTTATAAAATGAAATAGCACAATTTCCCTTTTTTACCAAAACACGTATGAATGCTCATTTAAAACTTACAAAAAATTTTATTTTGGGCCATTTCTCACACATAATTCTCTAGGGTCACTTTCTTTGCACAAGCTGATAATGAAATCTGTAATAAATCACGGTTGAACACACAGTTAAAGTTCTTTCTTTTATCAGCAGGTAGCAAAACCAACAGAAAAGTAACTTTGGGGTGGGGTAAAGGTGGTAGACCACATTAATTTCAGAAGCATTGGGTAGATGATTTAAGTTTTTGGAATCACCTATAACAGTGCTGATTTGGCCAAAGCAAACATGGTGAAAAATTATAAAAAGAAGAGGCAGAATTAAGAGTTGACCATTCTCATGGACCTACAGGATAGTATGCTAAGTAAAATAACAGACAGACAAATACCATATATTTCACTTATATGTTAAATTGAAAGAACAAAGTAAACAAATAAAACAGGAACGAACTGAGATATAGAGAACAAAATGATGGTTGCCAGATAGTGGGAGGGAGTCTGGGGAGCTGAATGAGAAGAGTATAGGGATTAAGAAGTACAAATTGGCAGTTATAAAGGAGTCACAGGATATCAAATACAGCATGGGAAATATAGTCAATAATATTATAATAACTATGCATGGTGCCAAGTAGGTACTAGAATTATCAGGGGTACCACTTCATAAGTTATATAAATGTATAACCATTTTGTTATATACCTGAAACTAATATAATATTGAATGTCAACTGCATTTGTAAAATTTAAAACAAATTTTTAAAAAGTTGGCCATTCTCATACTTCCCCAAATGCGCTTGGCTTTCTTTCCAAGGAAAATCAGACATTTTTTTGTTAAAAATTGGTTATCTTCTTTCCATTAAAAACAAAACAAAATGAAACAAACTTCCTTCTTAAGAGACAATTTATAGATTTCTAAGCTGTCATCTCCCAACACTATTATATATGAATTCTTTCCCTGCAGTAGTGCCAACATTCCTTAATTCCCCATGCTTTCACTAGAGCAGAAATTCTTAAGTATGAGTATACAAATAGATTTTAGGAAGTCTGTGAACTCCCTGAAAATTCAAATATTTTAAATTTTGAGTGGATAAGCAATTTATACGGACAAAATTTCCACAGTTCCCAACACATTCTTAGAGGGAACAATAATCTATAAAAGTTAAAAGCATTTTTATTAAATGAAAAATGTGATCTGAATAGAAATATAGGGTATAGGTTCTTTATTAATGAAATAGGCATATAAAGATATTATATTACATCATATATGTATCAAGAAGAGCTTTAGAAATAAATCCCTTCAGTTTATAGATGATAAAACTGACATTCGGAGATGTTAAGGAGAGTGGCCAGCCCCTTGCTAACTAGAAGACAGGAGCCAGAGAAAACTGCTGGCCGCCTGCTTCCATGTCCGCACCCTCACACCCTGCTACCCACATGGGGACAGACAGGAGGATAATAGTAAGCACACTGCCGTCAGTCAACGATCCGCCTCTGCTACGTATACAATCTCAGAATAAATCAGGTTGTTAATTATTTAAACACTACTGGCTCATAAGACATATAAACATTTTCTTTTTTTTACTGAAGATATCTAAAAATACATATTCTCTTAGATACATTAGAACTCGCTTCCTTGCCAGCAGGCACAATCGATAACCTGTCAGTCATCTAAAAGACATGAGTACTTGATCCTACTGCAATCAATAAGAGCAGGGCCTACACCAGGCCTGGAAGGGACAGCGGATGTTTAGGAGACAGAAGGCTTCAAGGAGGCACTTAAACATGTTTCTTTCTGAGGCAATTACTCTGAAAGCCCACAATACAAAGTTAATTAGCTGAGTGTATCTTTCAGTTAACTGTTGAAGTTGTTTAGAAATTTTAAGGAAAAATTCATTTAAAAGGTGATTCCCTTGTTTATTCACACTAAAAAACAACAAGTTCAAAAACCAAAAGAGATAACGGTTAGTAAAAAGAACTGTTACAGTAATTAAGTGAGAAAATTAAAAAAAGTTTCATTTTGTTGTCAGTTAAGATGGGTGTGAATTCAAATCCTGTTTTAAATTTTTTCAAAATAATTATAAAACAAAAGTCTATAAATAAGAATCCAAGGGACACCTACCACCACCTTAACTTCTGAAATACAGCACAACTTTCTACCATCTGTTATTTTAGAGCAGAAACAGTAAGGAACATATGGGCTTTCTCTCTCAAGCAGCTGTAGTGTAGTTAAAGTTATAATAATTGTCTTTCTGTAAGATACATTTCATTAAAAACCTGGCCAGTTAAAAATAAATGGCTCAGCCTCAGAGCCTTCCAGAATAACATTAAGACATTCAGAATCTTCGATGACATACTATATTCAGAGATTTGGAGAATAGCCTCTAAATCTTGTGCTTCTTTATTTAAGCTTAAATAAATATAATTCATGGTGCACAATCAGTTTTTTTTTTATTTTTATTTTTGTTCAGTTAGTTGTCCCCATTGCTCACCACAACCCAGCCTCCCCAACTCTCACACAGTCAATCCCTGCCCCCCTCTTGCCTGTGCCCATGAGTACTCTATTCATGTTCCTTTGTTTGCCCCTTCCCCTTCTTTCACCTGTTATTCCCTTCCCCTCTCCCCTCTGGTTACTGCCAGTTTGTTCTTTATTTCAATGCCTCTGGTTATATTTTGCTTGCTTCTTTGTTTTGTTGATTAGCATACACTTATAGGTGAATCATAGGGCATTTGTCTTTCACTGCCTGGCTTATTTCACTTAGCATAATACTCTCCAGTTCCATCCATGCTGTTGCAAAGGATAGGAGCTCCTTTTCTTTCTGCTGTGTAGAATTCCATAGTGTAAATGTACTATAGTTTTTTGATCCACTCATTTGCTGATGGGCACTTAGATTGCTTCCAGCACTGGGCTGTTGTAAATTGTGGTGCTATGAACATAGGGTTGCAAAGGCTCTTTTGAATTGGTGATTCAGTATTCTTACGGTACAGTCCCAGTAGTGGGACTGTAGTTTCTCAGTCAAAAATCCAGCAACCTCAAATAAGGGTGAGGTACTCCCATATAAAAGTCAGTAACTAAGTTCTTAAAAGCTGATAATATAAATCTACCACTGCTGTGGGTCATACACTGAACTTCAACCTAAAGTCTCATTTGTTATAAGAAAACATCACAATACATTGGCATATATACTTTCATTTCAACTACGAATCATTTATCATGAGTTTAAGTAAACTGAAAGCAACTCAGAGTAGATTCTGAACCATATATTAGGAAAAATAAGAATTTCACTTACCTTTATCGGGGTGATTCAGAATCATGATTCTTCTGTGAGCAGTTCGAATCTTGGCCTTAGTAGCAGATGGGCTGTACAAAGAAATTAAAGAGCTTATAATAAATTACATCAAATGCAGATTATAAATCAATGGTTTATATGGGTTTCAAGAAATTAAAAACTAATGAGGATTTCACCATCTTGTGGATAAATATGAAATTACAGCCTATCACTAGTAATCACCAAAATGAATCACTGATTATTCAATGCTGCATGTATTTTTCTTCAGTCCTTTGTAATATCAGTCTTTATTTTCAATCAATTTAAAAAATAAAACAATACAGAGGGTAGGAGAGTCATAGTTTATAGATTATACTGTAAGTTTCAAAACTTATGCTTCAAATTATTTGGGGGGAAAGTCAGTATATAGAGTTTAGCAGACAGGTTCTTGGACTCCAGAGCTACTCCACTGCTGCGTTTTAATCCCACTGCCATGTAGAATGGTAACCTTCATCAATCTGTCAACCTCCCTATGCTTCAGTTTCCCCATTATACACCACAGTTAGGAAAGATATATTCCTAATAGAGTAACTGCAGGTATTAAATTAGTTAATGTCAACAAAGTGCTAACAGTACCTGTTGTATAACCAGTATTCCCTAATAGTTAGTTAGCTCTATTATTATTATTACTATTTTTTTTTCAATAGAGCATCTCAGTATTTCGTAACTTATAATTAATTTAACTTTGTAAGAATACTATGGGAAAAGCTTGTCTGCTAGAATCTATGCTCTAAATAAAAATTTTAAAAAGTTAAATAAACCTAAAACTACGTTGGCAAAACCTAATTTACCTAGTATTAGAAATGTTTCTCATTAGTACATTTTTAGGCAAATAAAAGAAATACAGTAACACTAACAACAAAATCTTAGTATTGCTACTTAGATCTTATTTAAAGTACTGAGCTTATCTGGGCCTCAAATGGAAATAACTGTACCTCACAAAGTATGGGGTGGTTTGTGAAGCTCAACATAATTTAATCTGTATGGATGATTCATGGTGTAGTAGATAAAAGCATGTACTTTTAGAGATAGTCAGATATAGGTTCAATATCTTGATTCCACCATTCATTAGCCACACAATTAGTTTTGCATATTTAAACTCCAAGTTATAATTTCCTCATATGTAAATTGTAAATAATAAAACAACTTCCCAGGATTATTTTAAGGATATATCACATAAGTAAAAAGATTAGTACGACTAATATATAGTGTTCAGAGAATTGTAGTTACTGTGGATATAAAGGATGCTAATAAAAATATATACTTCCTACTTTTAAAATGGAGTATAAATAACCTAATTTAACATTCCTTGAATGACTCAAAGCATTATCATAACTATTATTTAAGTACAAATAAATGGTTACAGTCTGCAGAGGTTTGCTTGCCCTTCTACTAAATGGTCAAATACTACTACTCATTTATGTTTTTCCATCGGTTTTGAACACTGCCTCCCTTACTATCAGCTGTCAATCCTTGATTCTGCTGGTGTTTCAGTCCATTGCCAGTTACTTGCTACTTCTAGTCTCCTAGGGTTAAATGACCAAACATGTTAAAATGCACTATCAATTGCTAGAAAAGCATGTAAAATATTTTTCTATGAATAAAATAAATGCCTAGAGTTAAAGAAGAAATCAAAAGAGAAATCAAAAATACTTTGAGACCAATGAAAATGGGACTACAACATAACAAAAGTTATGATAGAGCCAAAGCAGTTCTAAGAGGAAAGTTTGTAGCAATAAACTACAACATTAAGAAAAAAGAAAGAGCTCATATAACCAAACTTTATACTTCAGGGAACTAGAAAAAAAAGAACAAACTAAGTAGAAGGAAGGAAATAACAAATATCAGACTGAAAATAAATGACATAGAGGCTGAAGAGACAATAGAAAAGACCAGTGATATTAAGAATTATTTTATTGAAAAGATAAACAAAATATACAAATCATTAGCTAGACTCACCAAGGAAAAAAGGGGACTCAAATTAATAAAATCAGAAATAAAAGAGGAGACATTAAAATAATACCAGAAAAATACAAAGCATCCCAAGAGACTACTATGAAAAACTACACAACAAATTGGAAAATCTAAGATTGAAAAAATTCCTAGAAACTAACAACATACAGAAACTGAATCATAAAGAAACAGAAACTCAGCACAGGCCAATTACTAGTAATGCAATTAAATCAGTAATTAAGAATCTCCCAACATGGGATGCAAGGCTGGTTCAATATCCGCAAGTCAATTAACATGATACACCATGTAGACAAAATGAACCATAAAAATAATATGAACATATTGGTAGATGCAGAAAAAATATTTGACATAATCTAGCATCAATTTATGATGAAAACTCTTAGCAAAGTGAGGATAGAGGAAACATAATTCAATGTAATAAACACCATATATGACGAACCCACAGCAAACTCTTTTATTTAACATACTGGAAGTCCTAGCCATAACAATCAGATAAAAAAATAAATAAAAGGCATCCAAATTCAAAAGAAGTAAAACTATCACTATTTGCAGTTAACATAATATAAATACAATATATAGAGAACTGTAAAGATTCCACTAAAAAACTATTAGAATCAAAAAATGAATTCAGTAAAGTAGCAGAATAGAATATTAATATTCAGAAACAGGTTGCATTTATATAAAAACTATATATCAATCTATCAGGAAGAGAAGTTAAGAAAATAATCCACTTACAATTGTATCAACAAAAAAACCCCTAGCAATAAATTTAACCAAGAAGGTAAAATGCCTGCACTTGGAAAATTATAAGACATAGGAAAAAAAATACTGAAGATACAAATAAATGAAATCATATACCATGTCATGGATAGGAAAAATTAACATCATTAAAAAGTTGATTACCCAAAGCAATATACAGATTCAATGTAATCTCTATCAAAATGCCAATGACATTTTGCAAAGAACTAGGACAAATAATTCTAAAATTTATATGGAATCACAGAAGACCCTGAATAGGCACTGCAATCTTGAGAAAGAACAAAGTTGAAGGCATCATTGCTACCTGATATCAAACTATACAAGAATCCAGTAATCAAAGTAGCATGGTACTGGCATAAAAATAGACACAGAGATCAATGAAACAGAATAGAGGGCCCAGAAATAAACCCACACCTACATGGTCAATTAATCTATGACAAAAGAGGCAAGAATATACAATGGAGTAAAGACAGTCTACTTAATACATAGTGCTTAATACATTGTACAGATACAAGAAAAAAGTAAAACTAGACTGCCTTCTTAAACCATATATAAAAATAAACTCAAAATGAATTAAAGACCTAAATTGTAAGACCCAAAACCACAAAACACCTAGAAGAAAACATCAGGAGTAACCTCTCAAACTTTGTTTTTAGTAATATTTTTTCTGATATATCTCTTCGGGCAAGGGAAACAAAAGAAAAATGAATGGAACTACATCAAACTAGAAAGTTTTTGCACACCAAAGGAAACTGTCAATAAAACAAAAAGACAACCTATCAATTAGGAGAAGACAATCACCAATGATACATCCAATATAGGGATAATACCCAACATTTATAAAGAATTCTTATGACTTAACACGAAAACAAACAAACAATCCATTTAAAAATGGGAAAAGGCCCTGAATAGATACTTCTCCAAAGAGGACATACAGATGGCCAACAGACATGTGAAAAAATGCTCAATTTCACTCATCGTCAGAGAAATGCAAATTAAAACCATGATGAGGTATCATCTCACTACTGTCAGAATGGCTATTAACAAATTAACAAACAAGAGCTGGTGAGGATGTGGAGAAGAGAGAACCCCCTGTGCATTTGTTGGTAGGACTGCTACCATGGAAAACAGTATGGAGGTTCCTAAAGCATTAAAAATAGAACTATGTTATGACTCAGTAATTCCACTTCTGGGTATTTGTCTGAAGAAATCCAAAACAGTAATTCAAAAAGATGTATGAACTCCTATGTTCATTGCAGCATTATTTACAATAGCCATGATATGGAAGCAATCTAAGTTCCCATCAATAGATGACTGGATAAAGAGGTAGTCATACATATATACAATGGAATATCACTCAGCTATAAAAAGAATGAAATCTTACCATTTGCAACAACACAGATGGACTTAGAGGATAGTATTCTACCTAAAATAAATCAGATAGAGGGAGACAAATACCACATGACTTCACTTACATGTGGAATCTAAAGAACTGTAAATGAACAAATAAAACAGAAATAGACTCATAGATATGGAGAACAAACTGAGGGTTTCCAGATGGCAGGGGGTTTGGAGGACCGGGTGAAAAAGATAAAAGGATTAATAAGTACAAATTGGAAGTTACAAAGTAGTCACAGGGCTGTAAAGTACAACATAATGAATATAGTCAATTAATATTGTAATAACTTCGTATGAGGTGAGTAACAGACTTATCAGGGGATCACTCTGTAAATTATATAAATGTCTAACCACTATTCTGTACACCTGAAACTAATATAAAGTAAAAACAAATGCCAACTGTAATTGAAAAATTAAAATAAAAAAGAACCTCCCAAGAAAGGTAAGTCCAGGACAAGATGACTTAATTTAATTTTACCAAACATTTAAAGAGGAATTAATGTCAATTCTCCTCAACACTTCCAAAAATAGAAGGGGAGAGAGAGAACACTTCCAAACTCATTTTACAAGGCCAACATTATCCTGATACCAAAACCAGAAAAGGATACCAAAAAATCACAAATCCTCCTGAGGAATACAGATTTTAAAAAGTCCTCAGCAAAATATTAGCAAACAAAATCCAACAATACATTGAAAGGATCACACACCATAGTCAAGTGGGATTTATTCCAGGCATGCAAGAATAGTTCAAATATGCAAATCAATCAATGAGATACATCACACTACCAAAATGTAGGACAATAATCATACCAGCATTTGACAAAATTTAACATCCGTTTATAATATAAACTCTCAGCAAAGTGGACATAGAAGGAATATACCTCAACATAATGAAAGCCAT